CCTGGCGGCCGGTCGCCGAATGAGAACGAGGGGGATAGGTTCGCTGGGCGTTGGCTTTGTGTGAATGCGTTGGCCGCGAACGTAGGCTTATAAACTTCGACAGCAACAATATTACGCGGCTCTAGTGTTCCGGTACGAGCAACAGAGGTGACAACATCTGCTACGACTAGCTACGACCACCCGCCGCAGCGATGCAGGCGTCGAAGAAGCGCAACGCGCAACCTGTGTACTACGCAGTCAGTCGCCGTCGACCGACGCAGGTCGTTTGGCATTCAGGGCTTTCCGCCCCGGGTTCTTCGCTTGTACTTGGAACGGAATATTATTTCCTGTGCTTCTGTATGTGCTCAGTGGCTGGATATGTACCTCATAGAGCAGTTCTTCAGACTCAACAGCGACTCAAAGTTGAGGGCGGAGGGGCTTGCAGCAACGCCAGCAACGCTTTCGGTTGGTGCGCGGGTGTGACGACTACACGGATAAATTTTAAGATTCCTGCTAGCAAGGTGGGCCATAGTCGATTTATGTTGACACGATTTTGAGTGTAAATACTCCGTGCAAAGGCGAATCTATCGCGTTTCTAATCCACCTTTGTTTTTGTTGTTTTTAGCACGCACGACCGACTGCTAAGCAAATGCCTCTGTGCCGATTACGGAGTGAATATCTTCGGCCTTACATTGCGGAAAGCCCAATAAAAAGTCATATTCGTTCAGCGAGAAAACTTCCCTTTCGAGTGACCTTCTTTGATTGATAATTTCTTCCGTACTTAAGTGCTTTAATCAACACGATCGATTAAGTTTGCTTCCCTAGCTAGGACATTTTTGTGCCACATGCGGCACTTGTGCTTGGCACGATATATGCCACTGGTGGTATTGTGAATTGGTTTACTTCCAAAGCTAACACTGTGACAGGTGGGACCATTCAATTTGCTAAAAATGTGATGATATTGGAATTTCGTTACATAACTAGCGTTTTACGTTTAAGATTGATAAGAAACATGCTCGTGTGATGATGCATGTCTACAGCATAAGCTTTGCAGATCCAGAATGGATGTGCTATAGGCTACAGCCTCAAGATTTTTGATGGATCAAATTGGTGATTACACGGCAATAAATATTGTGGTGGAGAACTGCCCATTGACTCGGTGAGTTTTAATTGTGACCATTGGTGTGCTGTTGGCAAATTAGGTAATGGCACACCTTTTCCCTGACCATCTGGCTTCAAGGGACATTGCATCTAGATGTGCTTAAATATCTTTATTTAAAGGTTCAGTGGACCCCTCTGCATCATTACAGGAAGGCAGTCTCAAGCCACAAGAAACAGCAGTGAATATACAATGCATAATAACAGGCACCAGTGTCCATGCGTATAGTCCGCAGAAGCAAATTTGAGCCTAAAAATGTTTTTGTTTTCTTTGGATAGTTTGCATTTGGTGTATAATCCGCAGGGCCCGATTTCCGCGCCCAGTGCATAGTCCGCCAAGCTGGTGCATTGCGTCTTTGTGCTCTTTTTCCTGGGTGGCATTTTTTTTCAAAAGTTCTTCGGCGAACGCCATTGAGCCTGAAGAACTGCTCTTGGGGCTTATATCCAGCCACTGAGCACACAAGCACAGAAAATAACACTCGGTGCCAAGTACAAACAAAGCACCTGGGCGGAAAGCCGTGAATGCCAAACGAGCAGCGTCGGGTGACGGCGACTGACTGCGTTGCGCCCCTCCGACGCCTATGCATCGCTGCGGTGGGTGGTTGTGGCTAGCCGTAGCGAGATGATCTTCACTTCAAGCAAGAAATCTTGCCATACCATAGTCAACATGTGTGTGCAACTGTTCGACGACGTGGGCACTCTCACGTTGGTGCAGTTGTCATCAAGAAAGGTACATATCAACAATGTTGCGTGTTTGAGGCTGAAACTATGGCGCATACTTATCTATAATCTCAATTTATCGGTCTGCGGCCACAAACATTTTTGTTGACGTTGCTTAGATGATGTAAACGTTCAGGCCTCGCATTAAATGGTGTTGAGAAACTCTTCGGTTGTGTATGAAAACCTATTTTTGCCCTGATAGAAGACATTTTCAAAAGAACACGTGTCTTCTGCTGATACATATCTTCCAATTTACAATGCAGAGGCAAACAGAAAATCAACTGCGTACATCTACCACTTAGCATAAGCACCTTTTGCCATTCATTTTTGAGCACACTCAAATATCGGCTTGGGTTGCTCTTGTTTTAAAAGCTTTGCCCTGTTCTGTAAAAAGAAAACAGTTAAAAAAGCTTTACCTTCGTTCTCCTTCTCGCATTTAATACAGACTTGTTTATCAGTAGATCACACACAGCAGATATCACCGTGGCACATACAACTCGAATGACCGAAGAGACTATTGCTATTACAATAAGGCTTTGCACAAGATCCACAATGAGGCTTGTAGGGGTGCACAAGCACATTGAAATGAGATTGGCGCTTCCGGGGCTTGTTTACATTATGCGTAAAAACAGGACGATCGGTGACCAGCTGATCGCATTATAACACCAAGGATACCGATGTTTCGAACAGGACGATCGGCGACCAGCTGATCGCAATATAACACCAAGGATACCGATGTTTCGATACATAGAACGCAGGATAAAGACCTCAATCGTCCCTTGTATGCTGTAGTTGTCATACTTTCCATCCAACCGCTTTTTAGCACAATTAGCTAGAAAAACCGAAGAGTTCGCAACACCTTTTAATGCGAGGCCTGAATGGTTACATCATCTAAGCAACATCAACGAAAATGTTAGTAGCCGCAGACCGATAAGTTTAGTTTTAGATAAAGTACGCGTCATAGTTTCAACGCGCGAACATTGTTGATATGTACCTTTCTTTGGACCCGCGTACATTCGGTTCAACTTGACGACAGTTGCACCAGCGTGAGAGCTCACGTCGAACACTTGCACACATTTCTTGACTATGGCAAGATTTCTTGCCTTCGACTGGCTTGAACACTTCCTCTGTAGCATCACGGTGGGTCTTGGTTGAAACGATGATCGTCTCGCACACGGCAACAAACAGAGAACGACACGCTTTGCTTTACTTCTATCGGCTCCGTTGGGTACGGTTTTTTCCACCGGCTCTGGTGACCCTCGGTCTCCACTGCCGGCGGTCACCGACAGCATGGCCTCCTCTTAAGTGATTTAGAGCTCATCGGTACCGGTTTCGCGTTGGTGAGTGCAAGTTCACTGGACTTATGAATATTTTTCGTGGCAGCCGCGTTAAGCCTAGCAGAAGCCCGGCGCGCCGCGAGCCGGTTCCATCCCGGAGGCGGCCGTCCTACTCGGCCTGACGATGATAAGTCCACCCGCCGCACCGGTGGCTTCACAAGACCAACTTTCGGCGAGGCAGGAGGACCAGAGCCGCAGAAATTCGACAAGAGGGTACGACCCACATCACCCGTAACATCATCCCGCCACCCTCGCCGACAAGCTCCATTTTAACATCGTCAGCACCTCTCTGTCATCTGTACACAATCTCATCCCATCGTCCTTAGATGCGGCGCCGCAGGCCTTCCTAGTATGGGCTACTTGCCTTTCTGCGGCACCGCGGTTCTCCTGAACCAAAATAAATATTATTATTATTATTATTATTATTACCGGTCTACGGGCGTCGCAAATCTATCCCCCTCTTGTCCGCCATGTTGGATCGATCGGAGCGCCCCCTATATTCGCTGAAACTCCTCAATACCGGTCTTGTGCGGGTTTCATGGTGTCTGTATTCACTGTATTGTCAGTGTGTAAACGTAAAGTGGTGATCGGTGCTTGTAAACTGGGTGAAGAGCAGTGGCGTTAAAGGGATACTGAACCAAAGAATTTAGTACCCATAATAAGTTGCGCACGTTCTTTCCACGAACCAGCAGCTGCCGGTGTGCGCGAGCACACGCAACAAAGATGACGTCAAAGACCTCCATCATTCGAGGTTAAGATGGCAGTGAAATGTATGGGCTTCGGGCCGAAGGAGGATAAAGAAAAGTGTTTCATTTACACAGTGGTGTCTGGTGTAAAAGGTAAGCGATTAATTGGTCTAACAGGCACGTAGCCTTCACTTGTAGAAATGAAAAGCCTGTCTTTATTCTCCTTTGGCCCGAAGCCGATGCATTTCACTGTCCTCTTAAGCGCGAATGGAGGTCTTTGACGTCATTTTCGCTGCGTGTTCTCGCGCACGCCGCCAGCTGCTGGCTCGTGAAAAGAACGTGCGCCACTTATTATGGGCACTAAATTCTTTGGTTCAGTATCCCTTTGAGCTGAGGGAGCGTTGTACGTCTGTATCAACACCACCTACGCAGAGGGCCTCTGCACGCGTCATCAGTCAGATCAATCGATGCGCGAGATAGGGCACGAGTGCTGTGCAAGTGTTCGGCTGGGCTCGTGTCCAGATCAGCCCGTTGAAGGTCAGGCTCGGGCCCAATAGCCGACTTAGCGCGATCAGACTCTGATGACGTTTAACAGAGGGAGAGAGGACCATGCGGAGGCTTTTGTCTAGGTGTTGTTGATCGACTGTACACGGCGGCAGTGCGCACTTACGAAGCCACCTGAAGCGACACAGTTTAGAGAGGCTTGTCCCTCAAAAGCAGGCATGGTTTACCACCTCCAGTAAGCTCTTTTCCGTTACCATGCGAATTTGGTGCAGAAACTGATCTCATAAAAGTTGTACAACATAAAAAGATGAAGTGCCTGGCTTTAATTTTACAAACCAGGAACTACGAAGAACTGTCTAAGGGCCTAAATCACAGCTGTAAATTAACACCTGCGATATATAAAAATGAGCTCCCCCAGTAGTGAACCAAGTGGCAAGAAGTCAGCCACAAAATGACTTTCACGACACAACTTTCGACAACTTCAACGCACGTCCGAATAAAAAAAAAAAAATCAGCAATCCAGAATTCCTTTAACATGAATCGCTAAGAGAATTTGGGGAAGACCAGTGGTCCGATCTATAAAATATAAAAAAGGCGATTGAGTGAAACGCACACATACACAACGTTATAACAAGGTTTATTGACCAGCAACAAGACTGAGCAGAAAGAAAGGTGTAACCCAGAAAGAATAGATATGGAGTCCCAAGTTCCATGAACAGAGCAGCAGGGTAATGCAACATCTAGCGTGATAAAGCATTTGATCGGCGCCCGACTTGCGGTTGAAGGCACTTCACAGCTTGGCAGACTGGGGACGAACAGAAGGTGGATAAAGCAATTAGAACACCACCGAGATTGCTGCTAACTTTGTAGGGTTTAGGGCTAAGTAGGTGGTCTCAAATCAGCTCATGAACCCATTGACACATTCCCCTAGCTGAGAGTCAACATAGGCACCCAGTTATACTAAGAATTGAATTTTGGAATACCATGATAGTGCCCAGCATAGTTTACCTTATTGCGGTGTTGAAAAGGGTTCTTTTAAATAAAGGAGATCAGGGCTGACAGAAAAGTAATCAGACTGCCTCTGTTTCTATTTGCAAGGAGATAGATTGGCAACCCTGCGGTGACATTTGTGAATATTTGTGAATGTCGTACAGCGATGTGTGTGAATCAGTACTGGACTTCCCTAGTGCAGTATTTTGCGTTCTGTCATTGCAAGTGAAAGCACCTCGTATGTGTTGTCATGGCAGATGAAGACATGCCTGCGAGACTAGGGCAGTAGTGAACAATTCAATTTTGCACTAAGCAGAGTGGTAACTGGACTGGAACATTCCATATGGCATGGTCACGAGATTTCTAGGCCTTCCCAACACTTAACAAAGAAATGTACTGAAAGAATTTCTCTGAAAATGAATGCTAAAAGTAATGCAACAATGTTGCAAAACAGTCCAACACGTCTAAATATTTTTTTAAATGCAAAAAAAATAATGAATGTGGATGTCATTACTTCAACAGGGAAAAATGCGCAGAGCCTGAAGTCATTGAATTCGAAATAAAATAAATTAGTCTTATTACTTTTAAATCAGTCCCAATACTAAGTATAAACAGCTGCACTGTAAACATCAACAAAGAACCTGGTATCTAAAGGAATAGGAAAACCTAAGCAAGCAACAAGGATGTGAAATACTTGCAGTTCCTATAACTGGAAAAATTATGAAGAGCGCATTAAACAGCTCTCCTCTAGACAGTTTCTGTTCAGAAATAGTAATGAATTTCTGACCATAAAGTAAACACTCACTGTTACTTTGGAAAGAATAAAATAAGTATGCGCTACACAAATATTTCAGGCTCATGAAAGCTCTTCAAGTTTAAGGAGGCCCACAGTCCGACGAAAAGCTCAGATTAGATTATATAATATATATCATTAAGGAGTAGAGGCCAGAAATCTTTGGACTAAAACGATGCCCGAAAAGTGCCAATTTCATTTGCATTGAGCACAGCTGGAGCTAGTCTTCATGCTTTAAAATATTTTTCCATGCAACCCAACCATGTGAATTAATTTTTATAATTTTATTAGAAAATGTGTGGCTTAGTGGCACACTTGTTATTTATCTTATCATAGATTTTGATAATCATAATCTAAAAAACATTTATCCAAGAAACTATTTTCATACTGCTGGAAACAAAGTTTGCAGTTGCTAAAAATGAAATCAATACACTTTCGATGACACTGCAATTAACTAGACATGCTAGCAACGTAACCTACTTTTGAGTCTACTTGAATAGATTAAAACAAACTGCAAAGCATATTCACTACCTGAAAAGGCATTTATGTAACTAAACAAAACGTCAAGTCTATGCAAAATGCAATTGGATTAAAAGTGTACACAGCATTGCAGATCATGCAGCATGCATGCAAACAGTTAAGCAACCACCGTTGAACGATATTAAAGGAAGAAAGATAAGCCATGCTGTTAAAGCAGATGCTGGTATTCACAAAGCACGACAATTGAAAAGGAAGGTGCAAAGTTTGCAAATCACAGAAAGTGGGTGCAAGGCCCTACATATGAAAGCAGAGAAAGAATACAAGCAGCAGTAGGAGTATTCACCCTATAGTGCAAACCCAAACATTTACAATACTAGCCCTCCCTTCAAGTCTAGCAGTTTAATATATTGCAACTTGTATATTCCTCCAGTAGTCGCAATTGTCTGGGGACTTCATCCCCCATATTTTCGTCATTTGTAAAACACTCGTAAGGACATCAAGCTTGATCTGATGAAATTTAGAGATAACGATGTAGCTATCAGCTCCAATGAATATCATATTGGCTGCAGAGTACAAATTTATATCAAAATTCGTTCAAGTGGAAAATGCTTGAGCAAAAAAACCCCAATGGTCTTGGAGTAGTGACTATGGTCATGTTTATTTGGCCTTCAATACAGTTTGATCTTGAAGGACTCCTACTGTAAGAACCTTCAATTTTGCAGCCACAAGCGTTTGCGAGTCTGGCAGAAAAGTCGTATTCGCAACCATTAGGTTTCGCGAATTCTGAAAGCTGGACTTCGCCTCTTTAGGCAATAGAAAGTTTTGCTTCCCCTAAAGTTTGCGATTTTTCCAAGTCATGAAATTCGTGAAATTTAGAGGCTTGCAAACATATGGGTTTCACAGTATCATCCAAAAATTTGCCCAGCCCCACCTCAGAAACATAGGAAGTAGACTCTGACATCCACAAAGTATTTTTGGTTCAGAGCCAGGAATTTGATTGGTATTCAACAGAAGAAATAGAGTAAAAATATATTTGCTACTGCTGCTATTGCATGCATACAAAACATTCATGCAGAAGAGTGTAGAAGGCGAAAGGAAAGTGCGTGTTTACATACCATCTTCCTGCGATATATCTACAAAAAGAACAGCCATTTATGTTTTGGAGAGGAAGGATGAGAATAGAAAATGGGCCAATCTACTTTGTACAACCTGTCACGATAGGTGGCTCTGAATATGAGACTCCTGAATATGAAGCTATGTTATTGCATCTTAGGCACGTGTCCAATATTCAGCTTTCACATTTTTCGTTTACTCAGTAGTGTGCCATGGTCAGTCGAAATGGTTGTTTATACCATTCCTCAGAGCCTGCTGAATGTTATCCATGACAAACATTAATTGTATATATTTCCAAAATGATATAGAGGCTGTTAAGCTAGGAGAGGCTTTCAGTGGGTAAATTTGAGTTAAAAATTTTTGAAAATCACTTCAGTTGTTTTGTGTTATTCTTTAAAGTAAAAATTAAATTTCCTTTATCGAGTAGAGGCTGCCAATTGTGTTACTAGTGATATGTCCCAAACAGATGCTAATGCAATAAAAGTCAAGTTTGCAGTTGCGCTATACTCCGTTTCACCTTAGGAAGAACAGTGCAGGAGCACGGGGCATTTACTGTGCAGGACTGCTCTAATCCTGCGATACCAAATGAACAAATATGATGAGCACCATTACGAGAAACATTTGGCACTGCTCGATCCATCAGATTGTAGCGTAGGTTGTGGTCAGACTTAAAGGGAAACCGAGTATAGCACAAGGTGAAGGAGGATCTGTGCTGCAGAGATTGCACCTCAGAAATTCAGTGTGCATGTGTGTGTGTGTGCAAAGTCAGGTCCAACATGCAAAAAGATCAAACGCCAGCCTGTGCCATTGGGACTCACCTGCCCGAGTTTGTCCAGCTTCTTGGCGATGGAAGCACCGCAGTCTGGATGGGCCTTGCTGAAGTTCTTGACGGCGCGTGCCCGGATAAACTCCTGGGCGTCTTTGAGGTGGTTGGCGATGTTCGAGGTCAGCCTGTCACGCTCGTCTTCCTTCAGCATCTGTGGAATTGAGAAAAAGTCGTCAGCAATGTGTTAGCAGAATGTCACAACCCAAGCAACACAGTTCTTTGGGCGAAATTTTTTTTTGTTTGGGGATTTGGGGAAAACTCACAGAAGCTAGCCAAAATTATATATATATATACCTATATATATATACATATATGCCCAAAGACAGGTTCCGACTAGAGTTGAAATAACATCTTTATTGCCACTAGGGGAAATACAAAAACATATCTAGGTAAGAAACCAAAATATTCTTGAATGATGGAGGCAAAAACATGGTAGGCTGTCACAGTTCAGTCCCATCTTCTAGGATACAGATTTAATTTTTCAGAATATTTTAACAAATATGCAAGTTGTAGCAGTTCATTGCTCAGCCCCAAATCGTGTGCCATTATGAACTGTACTTTTGAACAGTAAAAAATATTTGAAAAAATATCTCCATGAGCAGATATATTCCACGAATTTTATTTCCTACACTTTCTTCACTTCACTCGCACCCTGTAAATACCCGCTGCACACAGGGCCGAGAAAGCAGTGCCCATGGAGTTATGGTATTTTAGAAGTTTCGCATTTATTCTTACTCTGGGCATAACTTGTATCATTTTGCCCTAGTTCCTTGTTCTCAAAACTGCTTGTTCACTCTCACCCGAACGCTCGATGCTCGAACCTTCTCGCCGAATTTTTGGCGATGCCGACGCAGACTACACAAGGAGCCACCCGCGACCTTGTCGAGCCAGTCCCGCTGGCTGTTATGCCGCCAAATCGCCGCACGCTTTTCCGTTGTCTCAACGCTCATCTTTTACTTTGTATGGCACAAGTCCGCCGATTAAACCTTTCTTTTTAGTTCATAATTTATTGCCTTTCTACCTTACTCCTGTGACAATATAGCAATGCACAAATTTGCTCAAATGAAGGGCTGGAAGCATGACTGGAATATTTCCTAAGAAACTGACAAAACCAAAGCATCCAACTTCCCTGTTGAGCAGTCCAAAAATATTTTTTCCCAATTTGCTCTCCAAAGTGTACTTGATAGTTGACTACACCAGCATTACTGGGTATGTATGGCACTATTTCAAATCTCTACAATTTTAAATGTTTTGTACAAGGAATCTGAGCTGAAAGTGCTCAAATTTCTCAAGAGAGACCAGTGATCACCTTGTAGAAGTTTCCAGGCTGCGAGAAGTTATCCTCGTCTCCGCTGTTCCAGCGGTCCACGTCTCCAGAGGCCTGGGTGACGTGCTCCTTGTACTTTGGGTGGTCCACGGGGCCAGAGAAGCTGTTGGGGAAGTAGTTGGGGGCTCCCTCTGCCAACATAAGAAAGCGTTTTTACAGCAGGGTAGAGGTATAAAGGCAATTCAACATAAAGTGCGATTCACTAATATCAGCTCTACTTGTGAAATACCCGACGTTATAACAAACTGTTAAAAAAGATGTCATTTGTCGCCCTTTCTTTATTCCATTGGCCTCGGGAACTACTAAGGTAGCAAGGCTACAGGTGTGTTGCAGTGGTATTTGGTTAAAACACACATGTAATTAACATCACAGGTATATACTGGGTCTCGGCTGAAGTAACTGGGAAACCTTTATTTTGAGTGCATACCCCTTTCATAGACTAGATACCCGGACTAGAGTTTAGTTTTTTTACATTTTGAAAAACTTGAAGTGGCCTAGTATATCTACACCAGCAATAGAGAGATTGCAGGATTTAAATTTTCTTATATGTGCTTTCAATTTGTGAGCAAGTTTTCTTGCTCTCGAGGATAACAATCAGGTAGTGTACACCAAATTCAGCTGGCTTTTACTAAATACAATTAGCTTTGGCTTGAACTGTGGATACAATTGCAGTGTTTGGACTCTTAAATCTGAAGTGTTAAAAAAAATCATAAAAAACAACAAAAAAAACTTTGCTGAATTTTAATTATCAGTAAACATTCAGAGTGCAAACATTAAAATTTAGTTATAACCACAACTGAACAGTTCCTATAGGCAGTTCCTATATGCATGAGTGTCACCTACCTTCGTTGTTGGTGACAGTCATGAAGCCATCCCTCTGGTAGGTGGCCACGCGTGCCTTGTAAGGGCAATTCACAGGGATCTGGACGAAGTTGGGGCCCAGGCGGTGCCTGTGCGTGTCGCTGTACGAGAACAGACGACCCTGCGGGCAACAAAAAAAACAAAGACTCAAGAACCACTCCTGAATAAGCAACCATAAAGTAAGAACTCTGTTATAATGGCAGGTGTAGTTGAAATAATTGAGAAGACCAAGATTGTTAGATACATTTTGAATTTTAAGCGTGACGAACTGCATTACGACCACTTACGAGTATTTCATTGCAACATGTGTAAGCATCTTGCTGCTAGCTGTCATAAGCAATTGTAGCATAGTCCCTCGTACTTGAAACGCAGGTGTATAAACAAAGTTTACTGTATAGCATGCAAAAAATGGGCGTTATGAAAAAAGTTTTCTAGAAGTCCATTTCAAGAAGTTAGTGAGCTGGTGATGAATGCCTTTGTAGATAAAATGTTGCTTGAAAGGCCTACCAGTCACAAATTCAAAAACTTGACCAGAACATTTCTCTACAACTAGAGCCAAGGGGAAGTCTCCAGTTACTTGAGCAGCCCACAACAAAAACCACCGTATAAGCACTGTTGATAAATACACTAATAACCAGACCAGGGCCCGTTTTCTCGAACGCGAACCGTGGGTTAAAGTTAACTATTGTCCCTAGAAGGGGGAATTCTAGGTCACGTGACTGGGAGATCAGGGGCGCCGAGGGAGGAGCAGTACCTACAAGCAAAATGGCAGCGACGTTGCTTAATGAGGGCTAATAGTTCTGCTTGGTTCTGCTGAACATTTATTTCGATCCGGCTGTTATATTAATGACGCACCATCAACCTATTAGCACGTCAAGCAAAGCGGTAGTTCAGAGGGACTGCTAAACTAACCGACGGCAGCATTCCGCAAACGCATCACTCTTCAGCAGTCCGGGATCCAAAACATATGACGGTACATAAGCCTTGCAAGTGTTTTTATGGTGAGTAAAAGAATGTTTTGTGAACGAGTGTTGGTATATATTTATACTAACACGTTTAATTTGTTACACTATGCACGCCAACTTGTGAGCAGTGATGACTTGGCGGAGAAAGGGGGTTATCCTCAATAAAGTCTTCGTTCCGGGTGAACAGCTGGGACATCGTACTGTTTTTTTGTTCGCAGTGCGCCAACAGTATGCCGACAGCATCGAGGTTTCTACATATCCCCGGTAGCCAGCAATTCAGCGGTGACGAGAAGCTTAGCTTCTCGTCACCGGTGGATCGGTTGGGCGAACGGAAGAGAGGGCAAACAGTTGAGATCAGCAGGAATCGCAGAAACGTGCAACGCAAGGAACAAAAACGAGACTACAGCACCGGCGTTGCCAGACTGGAAGGCACACGGGAAAGTTATGCATTGTTTATGGCAAAACATATCGAAGGAAATGTTTCTTACATTTTCAAATATTCGTCGACAAACTCTAGCATAGTAGCTAAAATTTCTTCGTACCATCTGAAGCAAATAAACTGGTCTTCAAGTACAACATTTCTATATTTTGAATTCAAATACCATGCTAGATCGATAACAACCAGCAGAAAAAGAGGATAAACAAAGTGACTGGCTTGTTTCACCGATAGATGGCGCATCTTACTACCCAATCAAAAATAATTATTGTTGTTCTATATCCAGCCGTTTATTACAGTATCTACCGTAGGTAGTTTTTCCTTCCTAGGCACCGCGGTCTACCAAAATGGGTTTACCATCGTTTCGAGAAAACGGGCCAGGAGTGCTGCAAACTCGTAGGTGTTGGTAACTACTAATAGTGTTACTGGTAGCCATCAGCACCAAGTTTTGCTAGCAAGAATTTGGATAGTGATTTTTTTTCTGTTTCGTTTAGTATTCTTCAGTACATATGTATACCAGCAAGGAGAGGTTTTTGTGAGGAAGAGTGGAACATAGGTATATAGGAACTGGGCGGACCCAATTCAAGCCCCGACCAGGGTGCCCCTAGTGGCAAACGGGTCCATTTAATTGGAAACTTTATGCCAGTTGCTGGCGTTGGTTGTGCATTGTAGCCAGTGGTTGTAGAGGCAGTATCGGCTTAGCGCTGCAATTTCCGAGATGGCTATTTTGCACCAAAAAAGGCACAATAATTGCTGCATGGTTGGCTGCAACAGTATGTACAAGAATGCGCGCAGCACGAAGTTTTAAGCCATACGAGGCGGAGCGCCGCGCGACCTGGGCACAACTTATACGTTGATGCAAGGAAGTGGCGTTTCTTACCTTGCAGTTTAATACGTTTAACTTTTTCTTGCGCCGATGGAACAACAGGGACATCTAAACTAAAATATGCAGCAAAATATGGTAGCGGAATGAGGTCTCCCACCCAAGCTACAACCCACACTTATATGTTTCCATCAGCCTACAGGAAGAGAGTAGTGCTGGGAATTGCAGAACAGCACGAAAACAATCGCCCGGTTGTTAAGTTGATTCAGAAAGCAATAAAGGTACATCATTAGCGCAGTCCACTGAATGCCAACTAAAAAAACTTGTATGTACTAAAGGGGCCATGAAACGAATTGCAGGCTGGGATAAACGATTTTAAATTGGGACTTTATTAATCGCATATTGTTTAGTTGGCCAAAAGAAAGAGGGTAGAAAGTCAAAAGCCAGCTTTTCAGCACTAACATTTGAAAATATAGCCGACTATTTTGTACCTCCTTTCCTTTGAAAGCTCTTCGCCTTTTCACTATGATCCGCGGTTCCCAAAGCGCGTCAGCACTGCCAACCTGATGTCAGTCGAGCCCGGCTCGCGTATTTGACACGAGAACTGCGTCACTCGGACATATGTGCTCATCAACAATCGATCCGTCGACGAATATTCGGATTCGCGTTCGTGGCCAATGAGTTCCCAGACGGAACTTATCCTCACTGGGGAATGACAAGTTTTATGGTGTGCATAAAAAGCACGTGGAAGCTAGGAGTCATCGCACCGGTGCCGAAAAATGTCACGACGTGATTTCACAATTCGCACTTGAGATGAGGATTAAAGCTAAGGAGGAACAAGTAGGAAATTCAAACAGCTTGACGTTTTTTGTTTTTTTTTGCAGGTGTGCTCAATCTCGATTGCGGAGTAAAGTGCACCGTGACACCCGCTTATCGTCGAAACGGACCTCCTAGTAGTACACGTGGCCAGATTCATAAAGGAGTTCTCCTTTAGTCATATTGGCACCAAGGAAAAAGCTTAAATCTCGTCGAAACCACGACAGGGACACTGTCTGCTGTGCTGTTCATCGCCATTGCTTCCCGACGGTTCTGCACCGGCTACCGCTAGGTAGCAGCGAACGGTAGGCGACCAGTGCGACGCGGCCAGCTCATCCGCTTCCTATAGGGATGACAAAATTATTGCTTTATCCGTCCAGCCCACTTTCAGATTCAATTAAACAAGGTTTCTACACCATAATTTGACCTGTATGTAAGAGCTTGAAGCCTCCGGTTTTGCTCTGGACTGGTGTGCTTGGTGACAGCCTGAAGAAACCAACCTTGTCCTCCCTCCACAAAGATGATGAGCTCGCTGCTCCGCTCTTGTGGGGACTGGCCGCCTCATTCGGCCCTAACGTTTGAGCCAGGACGAGACAGGGCAAAACGCTATCGGGGTAACCTCCCCCACAACACACATCTTTCTTTCCACACCTCCTCCCACCCTCACCCAAAACCAAAGGTGACATCTAAAGCTAAGGCTTCGAAACAGTTCCTTTGCAATCATCCATTCTACAATACTCGGACCGACTGAGTGTCCCCACCTGAAGCATCTTGTCTGGGCTTGGCTCCACACCAGGCACCAGGTTGGCAGGGCAGAAAGCAATCTGCTCCACCTCCAGGAAATAGTTCTTGGGGTTGCGGTCCAGCACAAGACGACCCACAGGGATTAGTGGGAACTCCTTGTGGGGCCACACCTGAGAATAAGATATTGAACAAGATAGGTGATTGATTACATATTTACTGAAAAGCCAAAAAGGGGAGAAGAATGGGAAAGTCTTTGGTGGCGACGAGGCCTGGAAGACAGTATCGGGGGTTAGATGTGGGCTTCTACACCCGTGTCACAAACAATATTCTTGAGGGCACAAAGAATGGTTTTTTAGAGATATGGCAAAAATAAATGCTATAACCGGAAGAAAGACGTAGCACCTCTATGGGAACAGTCTTTGGTGCCTTTGAGCAGAAGTGTGCAAATATAAAATTGTTTACTGGATTCAATAAAAATATTAAACTGATTTAATTGGAACCAAATATTAAACTCACTTAATTGAATATGAATATTACACAGAAATTAAACAGAATATTTTCATGTTAAATATGACAGGAATATAGATACTTAAAAAATATTGGGTGGAAATCAATTTAAGAAAGCATGCCCATAAAAAGGAAGTTTTATTTACATCAGAAACACTTTACATACCAGTTTTCAGAAAGAAAGAGACCTCGATAAGGTAAGTCAAGTAGAGCGATGTACCATGGCAATTAAAGCATAACTATCATACTTGTTTAAATATAGCATGATGTTTCCTTTTTCTCATTTAAAATTGGGGGTTCAACTCTAATTATAAGCAAATGAGGCTGACCTAGAACAGTGAGCAAAATTTCCTAGACTACCGAGCCAACCAAGATTCTCAAACACATCAGCCGTTTGTCCTAGCACGCTGGTGCTAAGTGGTGAAGCTTGATGCAAGAAATCCAAGAACTCTGAAAACATTTTTCATAATTTTTTGTGTACTTAGAAATCTAAAAAAACTTGGAGCGAAAGTAATCCCAAAATAAATTGAATAAGAGATGCTATTCGTGAATTATTTGAATTTTCCAATATTCACGCAACATTAATCTTGAACAATTGGACGACCAAATACTCTAAAGGCATATTTACACACCTGCGTTCGCTTAGGAGCAAGTTCCTGTGATCTCTTGCGACAAGATTAGAAACTGGCATGCCGGCACCATCTATGAGGCAATCCTGAAACTGCACTTTAAAAGAACTAAGGTTTTGCATCGTTCGAGATATCAAATGAGATCTATCAAAAATGATTGTTTATAGGCCAATGCACAATCTACAAACAAGCCCGGGTTTTCCTAAACGAGATGTGGGCACTGTGCGCATGCAAAAACCAGAGTCGTGTGAACTAAAGCCGGGGGCGGATTTATGGGTTAGGCTTTTGGTTTAGGGGAGGGAGGAGGGGGGGTTCTGCTGCAAGGAGATGACATCATGGGCACAACGTTTCCTAGATCTGTTTTGTTGGCCTAATATTTACTAGGCCACCAATAGCTAGTAATTTCTTCCTAAATGAGCTGATGTATGTCGATGTTTCCTTAAGAAAAAGACCTTCGTGACCTGGGCGGGAGGGCGGGAGTCGCCCCCCCATATTTGCCTTCGACTAAAGTGCACGCAGGCTGCCATTAGCGGTGTCACCGCAATGGCGTGATGCCACGGCCGCGAATTGCTGTGTAACATCCTCAACAGAATTTAGAGCCAAAAAATAAAAAATGGTGTGCAAAAAAAAAAAAAGGAATTATGAAAACTAAGTATTCCACGGCTACCTAATAGATGGCACCAGTAGGTTCCCTCATCATCAGAGATTTTTTAGAGGTTTTAAAGCACACAGCTGTAAGCAGTCAGAAGCGTGTAAACCAGCCTTTATATACCATGACCTCAGCTACAGTGATTCCTCCAATGCCCACCTTGGTCAGGTCAAAGGGGTTGTACTTCCACTTGCTGGCCTGGTCAAAGGTCATGACCTGGATGTACATGCTCCAGGTAGGGTACTGCTTGTTTGCAATGGAGTTGTACAGGTCACGGATGCTGTAATCTGGGTCCGTGCCAGAAAGTTCGCCAGCCTTGTCAACTGGGAGGTTCTTGATTTTCTGGTCGGTCTGCACAAACAAAGGAATGAGGACATTGAGAGCTGCCGACACATTGATAGTGTAAATCTGTGCCCACGGATCATTTAAAAGTCTGAAGGATGAAAGCGAAAAAAGAAATAGAAGAGGTATAACTTCAATGACAGCACAGCGATTTAGTACACCTGCATGTTCCAGCAAAAACGGGCTGAACCTGGAGATGAGTAACAACCTACTATGTAGTGCCACTAGAAATGTAATGGTTTGCCTTTGAAGAGAAAAACAACTGAAACCACCAACACTTGACAGTCATCTTCTCATTAAGTAGTCAGAGATTGCCTGCTAAAGGCAGTGTTGGGTAAAGTACATATAAAAAGTACTTCAAGTAAACTACAATGTAAAGGAGAGGTGTTGTGCTTTTAGTAAAGCAGTAACTACACTGGGTGCAATGTAATTGAAGTAAAGTACTATAAATACAATGTGCTTTCAAAGTAGAGTACAAGTATTTTTTAAAACAATCTTTCATGATGCAGTTTTATTCCCCTTTAAGTACAGCGATTTTTTCTGGTATGCATTGCCCCAAGGGTAATCAGGGATGAATGCCCTATTTTCGGAAACTGCTGCGAATATTGGACAAAGTCAGGTGGCAACAGAGTAGTTATTTTCGGAAATGGCACCAAATTCAGACGTCCCTCCGAATTCTGAATTTGGCACAGCATGCACAGGCTTGTTGTACCCAAGGGGGTTGAATGCGCTAGGAGAGAGTACGACATCGGCCCCGTAGCTTTCGCAAGCAATCCTCTCGTAAAGAAATGTCCTCTCCTTAATGAAAAAAAAAAAAAAAAAAGTGTGCAGGCGAGCTGGTGATAAATAAACAAAATGTGACACCCGAGATTGTGTTGTAAAAATTTAAGGAACGTCGAAGTTGAAGGAAAAGACCCAAGAACATGTCTAACAACATTGTGATGTTTTCCTCTGCTATTTTCCATTGACTTTAAAGTAAATATTCCACATCAGTCTTGGGTGCTACATTACAATTAATTTCACTCTCTTAATATTTTTAACCTCCTTGTTAACGCTGACCGAGTGAGAAGTAGCGAGAATTTAAAAGCTATGGAAAATTTGCCCCAGAACAAACTGAGCGACGCGTCGTCTGCTTGAGCTCCGGTGAGAGTAGAATATCCCTCCCAGTATTTCTTCAGATTTGACAAAGCATCATTCTGTAATACAATTAACAAAACCAAATTTTGAAAATGTACTTTGAAGTCAGAGTTTTACCTTCCTCAGAAAGTAACAGAAAAGAATAAAGATACCTTAGTAAAATACAAGTACATGCTTGGAGGTAGTACTTCAAGTAAAGCAGAAGTTTTCTAAACCAACTTGAAGTAGTACTTTAAGTTCAATGTACTTAAAGTACCTCCAAACACTGGCTAAAAGCATATAAAAGATCTCTCAGAGGGTTACTTATGCTCAATAATGAGACGAACAGAGCGATCTCCCCATAACGAGTACTTGATGGGACACTGCCACACAAATCTATTGAAATCATTAAAAAAGCAACGGTAAAATAAAGCATTATATAAAGCAATACTTTGTTTCACATTGTGTCCAAACATGTTCAAAGCCTAGAAGACAAACCTGTGTATACACACAGACTAGAAGCGTAACAGCACTCTCCAAGCTAAATTGATCAAGTGTGCAGAGAAAAACTGAATGCTGGGACGTTGCACTTTTGGCACTGCTTGATTAGTCCCTCATATCATACCGCCAGCTGTGCATAGACTTATGAAACTAAGTACAGAAGCTGTTTCAGGCCCCTTCCAAGGATATTCCAGCATTGTCAGAGGATGAGTACCTTGAAATGGAACTTGCAGTAGACTGCCTCGTTCTTGTCGTTGACCAGCTTGAAGGTGTGAGAGCCGTAGCCGTTCATGTGCCGGTAGCCGTCAGGGATGCCTCGGTCAGAGAAGAGGAACATCACCTGGTGGGTCGTCTCTGGGCGCAGGCTGATGAAGTCCCAGAACATGTCTGGATCCTGAAATGAGGAGCAGAATACACCTCTTGCAAAATCTGTGATCCTAGAGGCGTAGTGCCAGTATCTTGCGAACCCAATGGTCACGACGTTCGTTTAGATTTGCCAACCTCGTTTCACGACATCCCGTCATAAACAAATGCAGTGCATGCATTTTTGATTATGTGACTTTTCTTAAATATACAATACTGTAGGTGTTACAGTGTTACCTACCAATACAAATAGAATGCTGGGATACGTCTCTTCGGGGCTTCAACGTACTAGAGTTTGCGCGCAGGTAAACCAAGGAAAACTAAGGCGACGTGAACTGGACTAATCAACCTGTTCTATCATCTCAGTGTCCTAGGCTTCTTAAATGATCTGTAAATAGGGATGGTCACGCTGCACTCTGGAGTTCTAGCCAAGCTGCCAGCAAGGTATGGGTCGCGGCCAGCCGTATCCCTACTCCTCACAAAGTCTGGGCAGGTCCTTACGGCCGCTGGAGGTCCATATTTCAACAGGGGCTTTCATGAAGATGAAGGAGTTCAAGAAGTGAGCACTGACCTTACTTTTATGCAGTGCTGAGAAGCACTACTTCATCAACGCTACAATCAAAATCGGAACTATGCCACTCCTTTCCAAGGCTAGGGTGCAGTACACCCTACCATGGCCAAAGATGCCCCACACTGCAACGCACACAGTGTTGCATGCAAGAATTTTTATAAGCAGTCTGTTAGAATTTTGTGCTTGCGAAATTAAAGCTTGTGTCATGAACGACTTGCAGGGGTTGTCTGGCAGAACCACAGCAGAAGTTACGACTTTGCCTTTCCAGTTAATAAACTAAAAAGTGAGTTAATCATATTGTGCAAAACCTGAGATCGGTAAGAAAAAAAGAAACTATTAATAAAAAGAAGGAGGAAAATGTCATAAAGATTTTAGATGCTCCCCTGGTGTGAGATTTTTCTTCGGCTTGATAAAGTATTTCCTCACCACAGTCTTCGGTTTTACACAATATGATTAACTACAACTACCACCATGTGCACATTCACTTTACAAAGTGAGCATCGCTTTTTCATTCAAGCACAATACAATAATCGGAAAAACAATCCAATCCAGCACTAAGATACCCCAGAAATCACATTTACCCGAGTTCCAATTTTTCTTCTGGTATAATCAATAGAGCTGCGACAACTTAGAACACAAGACAATAGCAAAGGTCTTGTCATTTAAATGAATCAACAATTGGTGGGTGATCTAGGGCACATGGTAGTATGAGAAAATAAAAAAGTGAAAGCCGTTTACAAATCCCTGTAACGCCGAATTGGAGCGCAGCTCTTGAGGAGGAGGAGTGAAGGGTACTGAGGTGAGGGTAGACCCCTCCTCCTCCCCACATTCTTTAATATGCTCCGGGGGGGGGGCGGTCACGTGACCTCGGGGGGGGGGGGGTGTCACGTGACTTCGGGGAGGGGGGTCACGTGACCTCGGGGGGTCACGTGACCTCAGAGGGGTCACGTGACCTCAGAGGGGTCACGTGACCTGGGGGTCACGTGGGGGTCACCTTGGGGTCACGTGACCTCGAGATGACCTTGGGAGGGGTCACGTGACCTTGGGTTAGGAGACCACGTGACCTCGGGGGTCACGTGACCTCAGAGGGGTCACGTGACTTGGGGGTCACGTGACCATCAAAGGGTCACGTGGGGTCTTGGGGTCACGTGACCTTGAGATGACCTTGGGAGGGGTCACGTGACCTCGAGGGGTCACGTGACCTTGGGAGTCACGTGGGGTCACGTGACCTTGAGAGGGGTCACGTGACCTGGAGGGGTCACGTGACCTTGGGATGACCTTGGTTACGCCGACGGCGACGGCGACGCCGCTCAAGCCGGGAACGGGCCCCTAAGAGCTGCACTCTAAAATGAAGCCAAGCATTGGTTCAAGATTTTTTTTTAGCAGACAAAGATGGCCCACATATGGGTAGCCTATCTTTTTAAGCTACACCTTTCATGATGCACATAACTAGTGGATCAGGAGAGGGCGTAATTAAAAACAAAAACACCAGCCTGAAAACTTAAAAAAAGACTATCACAGATCAACTTGACTAACGACTTGCTAGCAAATGGACTGGTCCAATTTCAGTTTTCGACACTTGGAACAATATTTTGTTTTATCAATCAACTCAACGTTTCCTGAGAAGTCAACAACTGATCCACACCATTAAAATTTCAATTTGTACCCCATTTGGCAAATCAGACTGACATTGACATTCTTCATTCTTCTAGCACTCAGTGGACAGTGACTGGTGAAAGGATGGTCAAGAGGCCCACCTTAAGGTGGGTGGCTGGGTTCCTCTTCTGAGTGTGGATGAAGCTCGGGAAAAAGAAAGGATCCCGGATGAAGAAGATGGGAGTGTTGTTTCCCACGAGATCCCAGTTGCCTTCCTCTGTGTAAAATTTGATGGCAAAGCCCCTGGGGTCACGAACCGTGTCTGCTGATCCACTCTCGCCACCTGGATGAACCGGTAAAAGGTTAAATATTTATTAGATGGTACACTGGGGTGCATCAACATTCTTTAGATTGGTGCCCCCTTATAGTTTCCAAGGTTAGTTAGGAAAGTTAGAAATTCTGGCGAAGACAAAAACTGGCCCAGAAAATAAGTGCATACTCTCTCACGCTCCTGAAAAAAAAAGCGAAGAGGCAGAAGCATTGTGTTACAAAACGACCTCGCAACCATCACCACAAGAGATTAGGACTCCTTGGTATACCCATGACATGACACTTGCTTGTTGCTAAAAGACAACACTGACAATCAATATCTGCAGTGTTGGCTTGAACTGCGTTATCCTTAAAATTGCACAAAATGAATGCATCAATTTTTTTTTTTAATGGAACACAGGTTGTTAAGGAAAATATTTTTTAACATTAGTCACACCTCATTGAAAAGCGTTAGCAACTATAAATGAAACCTGCTCGCAATGTCACTTCTCAGCAGGACAGCGGTGTATTGGGAGAAGCATCCTTCCAGGCAGCTAAAATGCCGATAGACACTGTGTCCCCCATAATTTTACATGGATTATTTTTGTCACCGCACAAATAAACTACGTATTACCTCAAGCTCATTCTCCGCCAAAATATAGCGCTAGCAGCCCGAATCAATTTTCAATCAGAAAATGGTAGCCGATGGAGTTCTCGAATACATGAAGCTGAATGGTACCATTAACCGAAAACGTGCGAAAGCGGGCCCCATTTTTCCAGTGAAAGTTACAAAAAATCGCTTAACTTGATTGAGACAACGATTAGATCTAAAGCTTTGGCATGTGGTACGAACCGCTAGCGCTGCATTTTGGCGAAGTATAAGCATTCAACAATGCTTAATTTATTTTGCCAATAATAATAATAATAAATAATATATTACGATAACTTAATGAAATCTACATTTAATGGTGCTTGATCACTTTTTTGTAAACCTGGTGTTAGCTTTCATATCACTGTTTATGTTCTGGATGCAATGCACACAAAGAAAACAAAAGAAAGCCTAGTAAAATAAGCTGATTCACTCGTTTTATTTCACCGAGAGCAATTAACGACAAAAACATGCTGTGCGAGACCTATTTTAAATTGAATTAAAATCGCAATAACGCCATTCTCAAAGGGCTACAAAAGATTCTTCAATTTTGCATGAATATCAAAAACTTACAATCTTACCCAATCTTGATAGTTGCATTCTACATATCCTAAATAATTAGCATGCCAAATCTGGTTGCAATAGGAAAATATTAAAAACACATTATCGCGCGAAAAAACCGCGGGTGCCCCAAAATTACAAAAAAAAAAAAAAAAAACTCGTTCGAATATTTACCACAGGTGTGTAGCAACACGACCCAACGAAAATGTTTGCTTGCTTGTTAATTTTTCGTAAAAAGTTGAAGCTACAGAAGACTCCGATGAAGAAGAGACAGCTAGGCCTACTTCTTTAAAAATAAATGTGACGGCGAGCAAAAATGGCTCAAATTCATGCCCTTCCGAGTCGCCGGAAGGTCTTAAAAGATATTCAAAGATAAAACCCGAAATCACTTTTTTTTTTTTTTTTGCAAAAATAGTGCAGTTTTTTGACCCACATCTTCCCTAAATGCCACAAGAAAGGTGAGGGGAAGATCTCCAATATTTCTTCCTTTTTTTGATGGGTGCTCCGAGACTACCGTGTCGAGGTTGTGGCCGTTGCCAGAGCCAAAATTACAAGTACTGGAGAATCGTGAGGAAAACATCTATTCACCCTCTCGTTGAGACCGCACATACCACACCGGTACTTCGTTTCAAGCTCGCTACAAAATAAAAAAAGACCAAAAAAAAATCGAGCAGACACGTAGCAAGATGCCACGCACCGACAGTGGAGAAGCGGATGGCGAGCGGAGTCTTCTTTCCAACCTGGTTGAAGATGGCTGCCTTGCAGTACTTGGTGATGTCGTGGGTTATTTCCAGGTAGCCGAAGGCTCCAGCTCCCTTGGCGTGCACCACGCGCTCTGGAATGCGCTCCCTGCATACAAGACAACGAACACATGTAGAGAAGGCAATGCACAAAGAAATGGATTGACGGATACATCGAAGCGTGGTAACCGAGTCAAGGAACAGCATGGCAGGCGGGATATGAAGCACGGATGTCCCCGGTTAGTCGCAGTCGTAAGGCACTCGAACAGAACTGCGCATATGGGCCTTTAAAAAAGGTACCATCGCGGACAATTATAAATGAAACCGTCCCTCATGCACCTCTGGCGTACCTGTTTTTTTACAAAACAAAAACAAACGCCAGAGGTTCTGGCGTACCTCTGGCGTTTGTTTTTTGTCTTAGAGATCTGTGGTCGTATCAACGAAAGGAAAGCGAAATTGAGTTTCTATACTTAGGACTTATTTATTTATTTATTTGAAAATACTGCCAATCCCTTAGGGATTTTCGCAGGAAGGAGCACACAAAAGTAAGTAAGTACACACTCGTTCACATTTTATCACATCTGCAGCAAAAAATGCAAGTAATTTGTACAATAAACACTGGGATATAAAGAATTTTACAAATACCTTTAAGATTAATACACAAGGGTTAACATACATTTCCAAAGCCAAATTAAACAACCACTGTTCAATCACACGTGAAAAAAAAAAATGCAATTAAAGTCATTTATAATTACACATCACTGTGCAAGAAAACATCCAACAGAGATAAAAATGATGTCATGGAAGTGCTGTTAGTAATGACATGATCTAGTTGATTCCATTCTCAGCTAAAGGAAAAAAAGAGTAGCGGAAGCAGTCATTTTTAAAGGAGTATTCAGTCAAGGTTTTACCATGTTTGTGCCTGGTCTGTCTAGTATTTGAAAAAAAGACGTACTTGGATTTGTCAAATTTGAAAGCATCATGCAGCAGAGAGTACAAGAACTTAAGCCTAAGTCGCTTTGCCCTGTTAGCTAGTGTAAGAAGACCAGACTTTTTAAGAAGTTCAGTTGGTGAGTCGGTGCGATTGTATTTGTTAAAAATAAATCTTACTGCTTTGCGCTGTATATTTTCAAGCTTACCTATATTATTCTTCGTGTAAAGAAACCAAACGATGTTTGCATATTCTAGTGTTGGTCTAACAAGGCTAGTGTATGCTAAGAGTTTAGTGAGTGTAGCGGCTGGCTTGAGTGTTCTTTTTATGTACATAAGTTTTTTTAATGCCTCTGACGTTACGTGATTTACGTGTAGGTCCCACCTTAAATCTGAAGTAATAAATAAGCCTAAATATTTACACCGAGTCATCCGTGAAATCGTTACATCATCAAAGGCGTACTGAAATTCAGAAATAGATTTCTTTCTTGTTACAGACATGCAAACAGTTTTGCTCACGTTGAGGGAAATCTGCCAATCAGTGCACCATTTATTGATTAACTGGAGAGAGCTATTTAGTACAAGGGGATCATCCGATGTGTTGATTTCCCGGTATATAATACAATCATCTGCAAATAATCTAATTTTAGCATCAATGTTAGTTGCAATATCATTGATGAAAAGTAGGAAGAGAACTGGCGCAAGGACAGAACCTTGCGGAACGCCGGAGGTAACTCTGACAGTTTCTAAAGCCTCTTGTCCATATTGCACAAACTGGGAGCGATTTGATAAGTAGTTTTCAATCCAACCGACTATAGTTCCTTCGCCGATACCACTTTTTCTATTCTAGACTTTTTCCCGAATTGAGAGATAATAAAGCTTGCGGAGACCACAGACGCGAGAAAACACGGAATCGGGTGCTTCCGCTCACATTTTTAATCGGGATAGATTCGCGAGGCTAGAACTTTGAGGCAGCTAACAGTTTTTATGTGAACTCAACGAAACCGCAACAATCGCAATCCATGTAAGTCGAACGACTGACCATACCGGCACACTTCATCTTGAAGTGCACAACACTGGTGATAGGCAGGTGCCAGAGGGACAGAATTGGGTACCTGTCGAAGTGCGCCATCTCGTCGAGGAAGACGACATCCTGGAGGAGCACTGGGCCACGAGGTCCGACCGTCTGGACATTGGTCTTGTCTCCAATGGGACAGCCAGTCGATGTGGTCAGCAGATCGGCGTTCTAAAAAGTGTTCAAACATAATCTCGATGTAAGCATGATAAAACAAACCGCATCTATAGAAATTTGTATAAATTGGATTTCGTGTATCAGGTTGAAACTAAGAAAAAAAAAAGAACAATAAAAGTATGCACATCGCTCGTTTCGCTTTACATAGGGTTCGGCGTTTTCGATTTTTATTTGTTCAAAATTCGGCGTACTTTTTTCGGTGTATATTTTAAAATTTAATTTTTTTTTTCGGTGTACATTTATTCCCAAAAAGGCTTACCGGTTGTTTACGGTGAATATGAAAAACACCATCGGACACCGGATCAGATGATCCTTGTAGCTGTGATATTTGTGATTACTCGAAGAACAACGGCACATATACACGCAACTTCCGTCAAGAGACACCTCAAAATCGCGGGAATCGCGGGCATAATCTTCAGCACGCTTCTTTTTCTTTCCCATTCGAACGACGTGACCGTCTGAGGTGACGACCGTGCAGCAACCAGAGGAATGGCAAAAAAAAAAAAAAAAAAATCAATTGTATTTATGTTTTTCATCACAGAGAAGTTTGAGAGATGGTGTTAAGAAAGGTATTAACGGTTTTCCTCGATGTACTCTAGTGCATGAAATTAAAAACATTATACTAGCCCACATCCGAACTTTTTTTTAGGACCGGGAACTTGACACACTAAGCCCGATCACAGAAAGAACACAGATGTCCCGGGAAGGCCAATCCAAGACCTCTTGGAAGAGGGCAATCACGAAGACGTCACACAATGTCGAACCTTGCCAAGCCCTCTCTCCCCTGCCCCCCCCCCCCCCTCCCTCACTCACCTCGACGCAGCCCTAAAAAACTGACCTTTTTCGGTTAAAACCGAATTTCCAAAAATAAATTCGGCGTACTTTTATCGGTTTTTATCGGTTTAAACCGAAAACTCCGAACCCTAGTGTTAAGTAACGAAGGATTTTGTTAGATATAAGTAAGATTTGTTTTAGAAAAGTTTATCTTTCTACAGTTGCGTCGGCATCGTTTTTTTAGCTTTCTTTGTGAGTGTCGGCGTTTTGGAGGGAGCATTTGCGAGGGCAGAGCGGCCGGGAGGTGGGAGCGGTTCCCCCGCGGTCGTTAAGAAACGTCTCGGGTTTCGGAAGTCTGCTCGGACAGATCCCCTCTTGCAGCTGGTTGTGGCTTTTAGTCGAATGTGCCTGTATATAGAGGGTTTTGCCGCTTAGTGTAAAATTGTCGCTTTTTGCCCGATGCAATAACTTAGCGGCTGGCGCCAGTCAGACTGGGAAAATTGCAGAGAACAACTCCACAAGGAATTTAGGTTTGGCGGTTGGAGCCCCAGGATCACAGCTCGCCGACCATTGGATGACAGTGTACCACGTGGGAGTGGTGAAATTTGAAGTGATTGGTCCATCTCTGGAGGGAAAGGAGGCCTCTACGAGTCTAGAAAATGGCTGCCGAGAGGATTAGGGGGAATTCGGCTCTTGAGACTGGGGGACTAATGTATGGGTTTAAATTTTGGGAGTTTTGTCATGTAAATTACTGTTGACTTGTTGTAGTTTTCTTCTGAAATAAACGAGGCCCCACGGGCCACCGTAAACCTACCAACGTCGTAATGTGTCCAGCGGGATCGAACAACTTTTAGTATTTTTTTTTTATTATCAACTTCCCGGGGGACTTGCATCGGGCGAACGACATCATCGGTCGTTACCATCCTGACCGGGCCCCTCTACCTTCCCCCACGGAAAGAGGACTCCTAGCTATACATCACGGTGCAAACAATTTGTCGACGCATTTCCTCGCCAAGCTGGTAACCTATGCTCACCGACATATATCAGAAAAAAAAAAAAAAATTCCATCCTAAGCAAAAGCTCCAAAACGTTCGCCGGGTTTGCAAGAATTAAAATGCTAAATCAAGCGACTATCGCTGCGCTCCGATTTGATACTCGCAGAGGCCTACGCAGCACGGAAGCTCAAAGCAATTGCTACTCCAAATCTTCAGTTGTGAGCAAACCATTAAAACAAAAGTTGCAGAACGTTGCATGATATTTTTATAACATTGCGTCAACGTAGTTTTTTTTCCCTTCATAATGTTATCAAAATGTTCTCTAAGTAATGTACTTAAATTATTTTATGTGCTGTAACGTCCATGTCTGCCATATTGCAATAACGTTGGAGCAAAAGTCCGTGTTACTAGAGATATGATGTTTTCACCAAGACGGCAAAGAAAAGGCGAAAGAAGGAACGAGTGGCCCTGCACAGACTTCAAACTCGCACTATGCTAACTCCCGTTTGGCTTGCCAAATTCCACAGGCCAACAGACCAGGAGGACACGGGACCTGACACAAGATGTCCCCACTGCGGTGTCCCCGCGACTTGTGACCACCTTGTATGGTTCCGTCCAGAGACGTCAAACGAACGGGCGGCGGCGATCAACAACCTGCCACCTTCCCTTCGACCGAAGACCCTATGGGAATGGGCCCACCCGAAGTCCTCAGAACCCGCGGATAGAACAGCCGTCTTTTCATCCCTCATCTCCTACCTCCGGTCCTCCGGGATCGGAAGGTACATCTGATCCATCGTCATCGCTGGCTCCCTTTTCCCCTTCCCCCACGCCACACGAGGCCCACAAGCCAGAGGCGTGGTCTTTCAAATAAACGTTTCAATCAATCAATCAAGGTTAACGTTTTTTTTTATGTTACTGCGTGGCTGCAGGTCATTACCAAGTGCTTTCAATGGTCGAATGATGAAGGGTAGGAAAAGATACGTGGCTTACAAGTCCAGAAAGTAAGGAGGGTCTCAAAGAAAAGAAAAAAAGAAGCTGGACATATGATGCTGGTGTAAGTTGTATATGGTAAAGTAACGAATAAATCATCGACACAATGCGCGCATAGGCATAACGCGAATCGATAAGTAACGTTCGTCGAGAACTCCAAGAAGGAAAGCAAAAAATACGTTCGGGCATTCACTATCTCGATGAAGAATGCTCGAATGTAAAAAACCACCCAAACGACTGGAGATAAATCTGGCGGCAGCAGGCGTTTGTGGCACCCTTTGATCTGGGCAGCTGCTTACCCAACCTCTTGAAAACAATAGAGATATACAGCTTCGGGAGTGAGGAACATAACTCAGATAAGGGAAGCGTCATGTGTACAACAGGGCTTCTGTTCCCCGAATACTCGGTTTTGGGTTAAGTGGCTGTGTAAAACCCGGATAGGTAGAAAACATCTATTGTTATATTACGACGATGATTAGGGGGTTAGAGGTGCACCCAGTGCAGTAGCTGCCACTGCTATATTATGATGTACCGAGTTGTCATGTCACGGATGTGCAGCGTAGACGGTCAACGATAGTAAGATAACGACATCAGCCACCCAAATTATCTCTCCGAGGAATGATAAGTTGAAACAATGGCAAGCTCGCATACGAGAGCCTAAGCACCTAGATGTATCAAGGTCCGTGCACCACCATTTGCACGTCATCACAGCGAGATCAAGCGCAGACGCTGATTAGACACGAGTGGTACGTCATCGTTCGGCTGGTCCTCGTGTCCGATCAACGAGTCAAAGGGCGATCGGCGTCGTGCCCCATCGCCGAGTTGGCGTCATTCAAGTGAGATAGCGTTAAGGGGAGGCAAAAGAGGCTGGTCAGATCTGATTATTCCAGGTGGTGTTGGACCAGTATGTTACACGAGGAAGACTAAAAATTTAAACAACGAAACGCTTGCTGATGTCAAAAAATTAAATCGTAAATTTATATATAAAAAAAAAAAAGAAAACCCTCCACAAACGAAAGCTTTGGGAAATCATCGCTTCCCAGACTCGACGCGGTCGTCGTATCAGAGCTCGGTCCTTGCTTCAGAGATAGCGGGCGCTCTACACGATTACCCATCTGCCCATATTGCTTGTCGCCGATCGCCGAAGATAGAAACACTTATGTCCTGGATTCGCCAGTACTCTATTTCAGACGTAAGGGCCCGGCTAGAGTGCGGAGGGCCACGAGGTTCACAATGATTGATGTCCACGCGGTCGCCGACCACTCAAACCTGCATTCCAGCGGAGGGTCGGGGAGAACGATTACTGACGAATGAACAACCACAACGCATTCTTTACAATGGTAAAGTTATTTCTAGGCGATTTTATTTACCCTAAAGCCTGTAAGCTGGTCGCTTGAGCGTAACTAAGGTGCCTGGAAGGTGTCTTCCGACTGATGGTTTTAGGTCTTATCCCGTCCACACATCAAACGTGGTCTTGAAGTGGCCACAAATGATAATCCAATGAATGCAAGGAGTCAAGCGAGCTGGACAAGGATGACAACAATAACCCTGGACAAGGGGGACAATCGTCATTCTTGTCCAGCTGGCTTGCACCTTTGCGTTATTATCAAAACCTAAAAATGCAGGCCGTTCACCCTTGTTGGTGCTAGACTGGTGGCAGTTGATAAAACCTGTTTGCTCTACTGATGTCCGACTTCTGGGTAGCTCAGTTGGCAGAGCGCTCCATTGGAAGTGGAGAAGTACTAGGTTCGATACCAGGACCAGGCAGATTTTTTTCGGTCGTGCACCAGCCACCTAGCTGTGTTTGCAGATTTCTGCTTGTCCTTTGACAAACGCAAACCCTGTTCCCGTTCTACAGGGATTATCATCGTCGTGGCAGCAAGTGACGCCACGGGAACCGGCGTGTCCATGACCTGACGGTTAGGTGTAGAAGTCCGGGCAAGAAGTACGAGCGAACGCGAGTGTCGCTGTCCTTCGGCGTCCCAACTCCTGGCCATGGGCGTCGGCAGGATTTAATAAAAACAAAAATATCCACCTGTTTTTTTTTTTCCTTTGGGGGGGGGGGGGGGGGGGTTTGCAAGGTGAGAAATAGTTTTTTTTGTACTCTACGGAAATATATAACAGCCAAAACTTAACAAGGACGTTGTATATTTATGCGTCCCAACCAACACATTTTTACAATATATTATACTGCAGAGATTAAAAAAAAATGTTTGCATAAACATTTTTAAGTTAGCGGTTTTAATCGCTTATGCGAAAAGGCCCTTCCGAAGTATTATTACATGTCTCGACTTGTGTCCCGCAGCCCGGGGGCAAAACTCTACCTAATGAACGCTGCATGAGCATTTCCGAACCAACGGGTTATCGCTAACGAAGGAACGGTAATTGGGAGGGTATGCCCCGCCCCCTCCGTACCCTTTCCTCCTCCCCTCCTCTCCCATCCTCCTCCGTACCATCCCCTCCTCGCGTGACGTCAATTTTCCCGCTAAAAGTAGCGGAGAAACTGAATTTGTTCATATGTGACGTAACACCAAGTCATGTAACGTCATTTTCCCCGCAAAACCCGGA